CTTTCGTTGTGAGGATTTCGTGTGCATTTTTATATAGTCCCTCTAGGGTTTTTTCCCGGTTTTATATAATCATGTATTCCCACCTCATTTCAGGGAGTACAGGTCAGAACTTAAGCGCTCCCGTAAATTTAGGGGTTTTATCTCGTTATGCGTGCCGGGAAAGGGTTTTCTGTACATTTTCTAGGGCAGCAAATTTTACCCGCCTTGAAAGGTGCTGTTAGGTGCAAATATTCCGCCTAGATAGAAAAAAGCACCTAAGAGTGTCATCATGGGCTTGGCCTCCCAGTTTTGAAGGTTCTCATTATCCATTTTTGTCATTTTTTCCAGCAGTGCATTGATACAATGTTATGGCCTTGAAGGGGAGATCCTCCGACATGATCCCCCCCCAGGTCTTTGAGTTGGGTTTTGCTCTACTGGACCCCCCGGGTTTAACGATTTTAAACCGTGCAAGGGGGTAATTTTTATGCAAATAATCGTTTTGTGAAAGAATTTTTCCCCCTAAGAAATAAAGGGGAAAATAAAATTAATCCGTGCAGCACCCAAAAATATGAAAAAAAAAAAATTTTTCCACATGAAATATACATTTTTCCCACACCAAAAGAAGGATACATGCACAATAGAGATAGTACATCACAGTATAATTGTGCATGTACTATCTACAAATGAAGAATAATGACACCTTTATTGAAGATGCAGCAATGACGATGAGCACGTGTCCTGGGAGTGCCTTTTCCTCCCGGTCTGTAGGTCCTTTTTGGGATTTTTTTCCGAAAAGGCCTTATACACTGTGTTGCCATACGATTCTTAAATCTCTCAAACCAACCTTTGCGGTTTAAATTCACCAAATGACACTAGTTAGGGTTTTTTCCCGTTCACCTGGGGGTTAGTCGACTTTGTGGGTTCTCCCGGGAGACAAGTTAAGGACCCCAATGGAAATAAGTTAGACAGTCTTTGATGACACTGACTTTTTTTGGGGGATCCGGGGGCAAAACCTCTGGGGTTAATTGTTTTTGGTATTCTCAAAAAGCCACACCAACAACGGGGCTACAGCGCAGCAGCAATGACAGTGCAGCAGAAGCTGACAGGCACAGCAGCAGCAGCAGCTGATCACCAATAAGCGATGGTTGATTGGGGTTTTTATACAAACCGGCCAGCTCGGAGACAGCACTCCACTTTATACTTTTCAATGTCTTTTTTTTACACTATTGTAATTCTCACCCTTATTGCTGTAGGGTTTTTCCTAGAAGCTTTCTTGGGCCCTGCACTTATTTTCCAGAAAAAAACACCGAAAAAAACCCGTAATAATACGAAAAATTTCCATTGTATGCTTGGGTGTTACCGCGGAGGGTGGCGGGGAAACATGCCACCGGGGGGAACTGGGCGTGGCTCAGGCCGCACATTGGGCGGTCTCGGACGAAAAAACGGTAAGCGGGTTTTTAACGGTTATGTGAGGCAAAATTTTTTTCAATTTAAAATAAGCGGGGATCGAAATAATTATGTGATGCCATCGTTAGGGGGGTCCCACTGTTTTTTGTGGCCAAATTTGTTTTGTACTTTAAAGATTTTAATTTCCCTTTTGTTACCATATTTGAGTAATTTTAAATTTCTCATCGTTGAAATTCATATTTTTTTCGCAGCCCACTGAAAGATTTGGGGTTTATGCCCCTGGGGCCCTTTCAGTGTCTGCAATGGGAAAACACTGTCAGCAGATTCGGGTTAACCCCCAAAAGGGAAACACAGTGCTGTGGGAATCCTTTTCTATGTCAGATATAAGGGTGAGAAAAAAGATGGAGCATCTGGCCTTTTTGGGAAAGGCTTTCACCGTAGCCACCCCAGACTTTACTCTGTTGATACTCTCTTTTTGTTTTTGTTTTTTAGGAATTATAGATCTACTACCAACTTTTTCTGTTATTCCCTTTTCACGCATTTTGTGCGCTATTACGCCATGGGCACACTTGTCGAAGGCTTTTGCAAAGTCTGTATACATTACATCTGCATTCTTTTTGTCTTCTAGTGCATCTAGGACCTTGTCGTAGTGATCCAGTAGCTGAGACAGACAGGAGCGACCTGCTCTAAACCCATGTTGCCCTGGGTTGTGTAATTGATGGGTATCTAGATGGGTGGCGATCTTGCTTCTTAGGACCCTTTCAAAGATTTTTATGATATTGGATGTTAGTGCTATCAGTCTGTAGTTCTTTGCTATTGCTTTACTGCCCCCTTTGTGGAGTGGGGCTATGTCTGTTGTTTTTAGTGACTGTGGGACGACCCCTTTATCCATGCTCCCTCTCCATAGGATGGTAAAAGCTCGTGATAGGGGCTTCTTGCAGTTCTTGATGAACACGGAGTTCCACGAGTCTGGCCCTGCGGCAGAGTGCATGGGCATGTCATTTATCGCCTGTTCGAAGTCATTTGGCATCAGGATAATATCAGATAGGCTTGTGTTAACCAAATTCTGTGGCTCTCTCATAAAAAAATTCATTTTGATCTTCGACTCTCAGTCTGGTTAGCGGCTTGCTAAAAACTGAGTCATTTTGGGACTTGAGTAGCTCACTCATTTCCTTGCTGTCATCTGAAATCATTCAAGACAGTGTAGGACCCATCTTGTTTAAGTAGGGGCCCAATACTGGATGTTGTTCTCGAATTTGATTTGGCATAAGAAAAGAAATGCATGTGCTTTGGGTTTCTTTCAATTTTATTTATGGCTTTTAGTTCTTCCCGCGATTCCTGACTCCTATAAGATTCCTTTAGCTTAAGTTCGATGTTTGCTATTTCTCTGACCAGTGACTCCCTATGCATTTCAGATATATTGGCCTCTTTTAGCTGCTCTGTTATTCTTTTCTGTCGCCTGTAAAGGGAGCGCCTGTCTCTTTCTGTTTTACATCTACTCCTCCTCTTTCTTTGAGGAATAAGCCTTGAGCATACATCGAGTGCTACCGAGTTAATCTGTTCTAGGCATAAGTTGGGGTCCGTGTTGCTTAGTCTATCTTCCCAGTATACTATATTGTTTAGGACTTGATTTACTTGGTCCCACTTTATGTTCTTGTTATTGAAGTTGAATTTGGTGAAGGCTACCTCGTGACTAATCTCATTTTGTCGGTCTGGGGCTCCACGCATACATGTCTGAACCTCGATTATGTTGTGATCTGAGTATATTGTTTTTGATATGGTGACATTTCGTATCAGATCATCATTGTTAGTGAAGATGAGGTCTAGTGTATTCTCCAGTCTAGTAGGCTCTATTATTTGCTGGTTTAAGTTGAATTTTGTGCAGAGATTTAAAAGCTCGTGTGTGTGTGAGAGTTCTTGTCAGAGCTGCCTCCTGGTGCTATCACTGCAACAACATTATTTGCTATATTCCTCCATTTTAGGTGCCTCAAGTTGAAATCCCCCAGGAGCAAGATGTTGGGGGCAGGAGCTGCCAGATTTTCCAGACAGTGGTCAATTTTTGACATCTGTTCCTGGAATTACTGGGACGTTGTATCTGGAGGCTTGTAGACTACCACAATGACTAGGTTTTGGTTCTCGATCTTTACTGCTAAAACTTCCACGACATCATTTGAGGCATTAAGCAGTTCTGTGCAAACAAGTGACTCTGCGATATACAGGCCAACCCCCCCCTTTTGCCTGTTCACTCTGTCGTATCTGTATAGGTTGTAACCTGGGATCCATTTTTCGTTGTCAGATCAGATCACTGTAACTACAAATTCAAGGTTTTTACCGATGAATCTCACACCTACATGGCTGTGGCAAGCTCTAGATCAGCTTCCTTCAAAACTGTTATTTATAACTTTCAAAATCATAATTATGTAAACAATTAGAATGTGTGAGATTTGAACCCATGGTAAGGCAGTCTGACTTTGAGGGACTTGAGCTAGAGCTTGCCACATTGGCCTGAGATTCATCTGTAAAAACCTGCCTTTGCAGCCATGTTAACATTCATAGTGTGTATAAAAATATACCTATTTTGACAAATCTTATCAGGCAAGTATGGTATAGCAGATAGCTCACTGGCCTGCCAGGTTTAGGACTGACTTATGTTACGAGTCATCTAAGTCACACAAGCACATGCACAGTACATCCATTTTAAGCAGTGTACCCATATACCTGTACATCACGTACTTTCTCTACAAGCAATGGAAGAATTTTAAGCAAGCACCATACTTTTTTTTTTTTTAAGGAGGGTGTGGGTACAGTACAAGACTTATTTCATCCTCCTGAGGGGAAGACATGGTGTGTGTGTGTGTTCCTCCATGCAATGTGTTGAGCCACTTGGGTTTGCTATTATTTTTGCCTTGGATTTTTTCTTGAGTTAATGCAAATTTTCCTTTGCTTGTGCATAATGTCAAGTTTTGTGTATACGTATATTTGTCAGGCAGTTGTCTGGTTGGTGTTAGATCAGGTGATTGCACTGTTCTCCCTTTGTATTCTGCTGTACTCTCTCTGCCTTCATTTTGCATCCCCACTGGATTTATCCTGTAAAATGTGTATGGTTATTTTTTTACCTGTATTTTTTTTCATATAATATGACCTCATAGCACAAGCATATGAGTGCTGTATATCTATACCAGATTGCAGAGCCCTTCAATATATATTTATGTATTATTAAAGGTTTGAGGATGGTCACAACAAATTTTGTATACTGTTATAATCCCTGCTCCAAAATTCAGAAAGGGGCTTGCATGATAGACATATTATGGTTTCATTGTATGCAATACTGTGGTTTTTATTGTATGCAGTACTGTGGTTTTTATTGTGTGCATGATAGTTTTCCATGTTTTAGGTAAATTTATTGCTAGTCTGCTCATTTATTTGAATGTGAACATTAAGTTTTCTTGAATATTAGTTGTCTGACAAAATGTTAATATAGTTTTCTTAATATTTTATTTGTTTTCCTTTTTAATTAATTTTAATTTTTGTATACAGTATTTAAGAGAGTGCCTCACATATTGCAGGTGAAACATACAACAGTCATTATAGATTCTCTCATTCATATCTTTCAGGTTTTGGATGAATCCAGACTGGATGAATACAATGGAGTTTAATGACCCAGAGACTATCTTAAAATTTCTTGAGGCAAACTCAGAAATAACTAGTGAAGATATTGCAGTTAATGCGCAGGCTGGTTTTGATAGTGATTTCCCCAACACAACTGTGGATTATGATGATGATGATCACTCGGCATCAACTGAAGCTCTCCTAGATAGCCTTATCAAGAGTGTATGTGGTGTGCAGGCTCCTGCTTCATCAACCAAAAATGAAGCTGTAAAAGACAGTGATAAAAATGATCTTTCAGAATGTGAGGCAAAGGAAGCAGTCTCTGCTAAGGTTAACAAAGAGTCGCCAAAGCTTCCCTTCCAATTAAGTGATAGCATGAAGAAAGGCCTGTCCATGCTGACATTTCCCTCAAAGAAGACTAACTCTCGCAAGAAAACCATCACACCATCCCGACCCACTTTAAATTGTAGAATTACAATAGGCGAAGCCTTAGAAAAAGCACAGGATGCAAGAAAAAGAATATCCAGTGATATTAAAGAAGCAGGCCAACTAGAGACTGTGAAGGGAAGCACTTTGTCAGATGCTCCAACACCACATCCACATATGGGTAGTTCTGTGCTAGATGTTGCAGAACAGGCTGGGAGAATTAAGATTGAGCCAGAGGAGGAGTTGGAGCTTACAAGGAAGATTGATGCCAACGTAAATGTCACAAAAGGGGAAAAAGAAAATTGGAGCAAAACTACCAAAATACCAGACCTGAGTGTACCAGCATCTTCATGTGAAAATTTTCATAATGACCAGCAAGTTAACTTGGCTACCTCAAGCATGGAAGGTAGGACAATTAAAGTGTGTATCGAGCAAATATTTTTTTGTTCCACTCGGTAATTTGAGTAGTTATTGGGTTTTGGAAGAATATATAGTATTTCAATTATTTATAAAGTATTTTGGATGAAAAAGTCATTGTAAAAGAAAGTGAAGAGGCTATGTAAGAGTCAGCAGGGTAAAACGAAAAAAAAGCAGTGGAACAAATAATAGCGGGAGGAATGTCGGTACAGAGTGATCTCGGTAAGCATGTGCAATTCTCCTGCTGTGTAAAAAAAAATGAGTATATTGGTTGTAACACGTTTACATTGTATACTCAAGCACAAGAGTTCAGGTCGTAATTAAACATGCTTCATTTATGCCATCTGAATTACCAGTACAGTGGACCCCCGGTTAACGAACTTTTTTCATTCCAGTAGTATGTTCAGGTGCCAGTACTGACCGAATTTTTTCCCATAAGGAATATTGTGAAGTAGATTAGTCCATTTCAGACCCCCAAACATACACGTACAAACGCACTTACATAAATACACTTACATAATTGGTCGCATTTGGAGGTGATCGTTAAGCGGGGGTCCACTGTATTATTATTTTGATTACAAATTAACTACGGACACAAATCTTTATTTACAAATTACTGTTCAAAGTGTGCAACATTCCGAAGGCCCATAGCATGCTTACTGAGGAAAAGCTTAATACACTAAGCTATTATAGTTTGCTTATTGATAAGCCAAAGTGGAGTTTTGGAAAGGCAACCATGAAGCTTCATGGATGGCCTTATGAAGTGTACACAAATAACCCGCACATAAAAAAGAGAGAAGCTTACGACGACGTTTCGGTCCGACTTGGACCATTTACAAAGTCACATTTTGTGTGACTTTGTAAATGGTCCAAGTCGGACCGAAACGTCGTCGCAAGCTTCTCTCTTTTTTATGTGCGGATTATTTGTGTATCGTTCCAGTCACGGTATTGTGCCTTTTTTTGTTACTTATGAAGTGTATCCACTCGGTTAATCTTTTAACTCATGGGCAAAGTTTGGCTGTTCTTGTGTCATGATTTGGTTAAATTGTACTGGTTCCCCCCCTCTTCTGTATGTGAATTCACCATTTTTATTTGAATTTTTTTTTTATTTCTGACAAATATTCACCACGTGCCATCAGTGTAATTCTCAAAACGTATTGAAGATTCTCATTGTGTGGAATTAAGCGTTAATAGCCTCATTGAGCTTAGTACAGCTGCCATGAGCCTGGAACATATCTACAGTATAAAGATAGTATTGATGTTCACAACTTGTGTGTAGTTGAAGTGCTGCATATACTAAAGTTGTTGAAGCTAGTTGGCTATGTGAAATGCTACTCGGAGGGCATCCCCAGGGGTCATATTTGGGAAAACTGAAAAGATTTAGACAGTATAATTATCATGTCATTTTATTTGCCACTTATCAGTAATTGTTTTTTGACTAAACATAAAAGGATAACTTATGAAAACCACTCTTTTTCTTGTAGGGACAACATTTATATTTAGTTTTAACATTAGATAGGGTGAATATCCTGTTCCATATAGCAGTAGGCTGTTTTTTCCTCTACATACAGTATAGGAAGAAAAGATCATACCAGAATTATTACATTGCAACCTGCCCAAGTGCCACTGTGGATTTCATACATTAATTTTTAAACTAATTTCTCAGTGTATATTGTTTAGGTTTGGTTAGGTTAGTGTTTTCTGTTAACAAAATTTAACTCATTATAACGTACAGTAACACTGTACCAGTAAATTAAAGTCTGCATTATGTAAAGGAAAGACAGACTTTTGAAATGCAAACAGAGAAGAGACCCAGTGAGTGCACTGGAAGATGCATATTCCGTAATATACAGCAAACCTTTGATGTAATGGATCTCCATATAGAGGGCCTCCATATAAAGGACCTTGGAAATGTGAAACAAATTCCACTGGGTCAATCGATTTAGAAAAAATAAAGCATATAGTGATTACAGCATATTCCGTTATTGTTACTTCCATGGGAAAACAATCTCTTCTTTATCCATCACAGTTACCATTACTGGTCATCCATTCCTTCCTAGTAGTCTATATTGAGTGTTTACTCATACGTGGAGTATACCTGGAGAGGGTTTCAGGAGTCACTGCCTCCATGGCCCAGTCTGACCAGGTTGACGGTCATCAGCCGAAGTCAAAACTGGCATTTGTTCAGTAGGATAGGCTGCACTCCAAGCAGAATAAAAGTTTATATTTGAAGTTACTACTGAAGCACTTTTTTGTGAATGCCTTATGATGATGATAATTAATGCTTATACCTACTAGAATTAGCAGTTTGGAGGGATATGTTGTGTATCTTTATACGTATATGCTTCTAAACTGTTGTGTTCTGAGCACCTTTGCAAAAACAGTGATGATGTGTGAGTGAGGTGAAAGTGTTGAATGATGATGAAAGTATTTTCTTTTTGGGGATTTTCTTTCTTTTTGGGTCACCCTGCCTCGGTGGGAGACGGCCGACTTGTTGAAAAAAAAAAACTACTAGTATTAATACTGACAATTACATGTAGTTAAATATACACATTTGCAAGTAAATGAGACATTATGGTAATGTGTCACCCATCAGAGACTCAGTCAAACCATCCCAGAAAATGCCGCTCCCACATGACAACCGGAGAATGCAACTCCTCCTCTTGTAATTTATTTGACCCTAAATGTGTTACTTGTCAGTCCAGGAAAGACAGTGCTACAACACATACTGTCAGGTACACCATCTAAAGAGGACAGGAAGATACAGATCACTCAGACCATGAGAAACAAACCTGGGTAGCCACAACCACTCCAGAGACAGAGGTTTTTTTTGTTCTAGGAAGAGAAAAAAAGTTGGCAAGAAATGACAGAAATCTTACACGAACTCTGAACACTTTTGGAATGGAGGCACAGTCAGTGGTGACTACAGTGAAAAGTTCTGCTCCTCAAGGCACAGTACTTGCTCCCATCCTGTTCCTCATCCTCATATCTGACATAGCTGTAAGCCACAGCACCATGTCTTCCTTTACCAATGATACCCTAATTTACATGACAGTGCCATCCATCGAAGACACCACAAGTCTCCAAGCAGACATCTACCAAATCCTTAAATGGGCCACAGAAAACTATATGAAGTTGAATGAAGACAAATTTCAGTTACTCGGATATGGATAACTCAAGGAAATTAAAACTTATTCGGAGTATAAAACAAATTCTGACCACACAATATAGCGAAAAACTAATGTGAAGAACTTGGAAGTGATAATGTCAGAGGATCTCACTTTCAAAGATCACAACAGTGTTTCTACCACAGCTGCTAGGAAAATAAGATGGATAGAGAGCCTTCAAAATTAGGGATGCCAGACCCATGATGATTTTCTTCAAATTGCTTGTTCTCTCTCTAGGCTGGAATATTGCTGTACACTAATAGCCCCTTTCAAGGCAGGTGAAATTGCACACCTGGAGAATGTACAGAGAACTATAATGGCACATACAAGTACAATAAAGAACCTAAATTACTGGGAACAGTTGAAATCCCTTGATTTGTACTCCCTGGAATGCAGGCAAGAAAGGTACATGGTAATATACACTTGGAAAATCCTAGAGGGACTAGTCCCAAATTTCTACATGAAAATCACTCCCTGCGAAAGCAAAAGACTTGGCAGGCGGTGCAACATCCCCCCAGTGAAAAGCAAGGGTGCCATGAGTATGCTAAGAGAAAACACAATAAGAGATAGGAGCCCAAGACTGTTCAACTGCCTCTCAGCATACATAAAGGGGATTACCAATAGACCCCTGGCTGTCTTCAAGAAAGCACTGGACAGGCACCTAAAGTCAGTACCTTACCATCCAGGCTGTGGTTTGTGTGTCGGCTTGCTTGAGGCCAGCAGTAACAACCTGGTTGATCAGGCCCTGATCCACCATGAAGCCTGGTCACAGACCAGGCCACAGGGACGTTGAACCCCCCAAAACCCTCTCCAGGTATACAGTAGTGTATGTACATGTACATTAAAGGGACATACTGAGTATATATTGAGGGAGGGGGTGAGGTAGCAGAGGTGTCTCCAGTGATTCAAATTCAAAATTCAAAAATTTCTTTCTTTTGAGAAGTATACGATGTATAGTTTACATGTAGTAAGATATTGTTAAGCACAAAGAAAGCCACTAGTATGCATGAGCATTTCAGGCAGATTAATTCTAATGTTTACAGACTACTTAAAACTAGACACAGGTTATGGAGTGGTGAATTTTAACCCTTTGACTGTTGCAACCCCCAATCCTGAGGTGTCTCCTGGTGTCGCAAAATTTAAAAAAAAAATTATTTTTTTTATGAAATGATAGAGAATCTTTTCCCGATTGTAATGACACCAAAAAAACGAAATTTGATGGAAAACTGACGGAATTACGCTCTCGCGAAGTTAGCGACCTCGGCGCTGTTTATAAATCGGCGATTTCGCCCACTTTGAGCCCTATTTTCGGCTAATTCCATTGTTCCAGTCGCCCAAGCTCATAGCTATTTCTTTAGAACTCCATTTTTTTTCTATCGATTGAGTACAAGAAACTACCCATTTACCGATTTCAACTACCTAATAATGTGGTCAGAAATTTGCAATTTGGCCAATTTCACGAAAATTAAAAAAATATGACAATTTCAAAATAAAGTCCAGAATGAACAATGCAGACATTCCTGGCTCTAAAATAACATTTTGTTTGTTCATCAGTCATGTCTCCAGGCCCCTCTGACATTACTCTTGCTTCCTATTTTGAATTTTTATTCAAACAAAAAATAGAAGATTTACTATTATGCAGACTACTGCAATACTGTAATAATTGTATAAATAACATCAACCCATTCATGACTGCATATTAGAATGGCTAGTTGGACATTTATTGGAGAATGGCATCATTTGTTTACTTTTGAACATTGGCAAAATCAAACATTTCCCCTACTTTGAGCTCCATTTCTAGGTTATTTTTTTTAGTAAAATCAGTCAAAATCACCTCTATTTCTATAATATGTTTTCCGTTCTATCAAATG